AAAAAATTGAAGTGTTTCATAATGTTTTTGAATGAAATATAATAGGGTAGTTTGGATTCAACATTTCATCCTCAACACGATGTTTTTTGGAATGATTTATTTGTTAAAAGATTGGCGATTTGGCTAGAAAGCCAATAACGAAGAGGTTTTCAAATTATTTTTATACTTCGTGTTACTATTTTTGTGGGGCTATAAAAAAACTGTGTACTACTCCGCAATCATTGGAAAATTGTATTAAGTACTACCATTGTCCCGTTAAAAGTTTCATATGGCAAAAAGACACGGTTATTAAAACAATAATTGAATAAGACAGTTTGAGTTTATATCAAGAAATAATTTTAATGGGTTTATGTTATAATGAGATTAGTGTTGATAACTGTGATATTATAAATGTATTATTTTTAATATTTAGTGATTAATATGTCATTTAGGATTGTCAATTGTTTTTAAAATGAAAATGAGTACCTTTCTATGAAACGGAGGGAGTATATTTCATTTTATGTCAAATTGTATCATAATATAATTCTAAACTATTCAATTGAAATTACAAATTCGATTTTATTTCTAATTTCACTACAATTTTATAGATGAGATTTCACCAACCGTGTATCGCACGGGTGTTCTACTAGAAATCAATAATATAAATGATGCTTATATTTGAGTATTGTTTAGTAATGTCATAACACACTTTCACATATTTGCACACCCTCTGATTTGCCAATTTACCCAGGCAATTCGTGGAAAGAATGTAATTCGCATAAATACATAGTTATCATATTACTTTAGATGTTTATACTTAGACTTATTTCAGTCTCAGACCAAACCAAACTTAAACAAACCAGACCAGACCATACTTGGATATTAGAAATAGTAGAAGCACCGATTTGAACATTTTCCCATAAATTTAGATTCAAATATGGTTCAAGAATGACATAACACACTTTCACATATTTTACTCCTTTATTTTTACCTATTTAGAGAGACAATTCGTCTAAAAAATGCAATTTGTGTAAATTTATAGTCGCCTTATTACTTAGTAATTATAAATAATTTAGCTTCAATTAATTTTTATAAACCTTTAAAATGAAAAAATTGTCAAAATCATTTGCGCATTGCAAGGTGAATTACTAGCAAACCATTTTACTAAAAGAAATGATTTTGACATAAGTTAGTGCGAGCTAAAATGTGTTGATTCCTAAGCATTCCTATTAACAACTTCAAATGTTAGCAGATAATATGTTATGACTATAAATAAAAGTCAAGGTCAATCTTTGTCCCGTGTTGTGTTGTTGTTAAAAAAACCGGTATTTACCCACGGACAGTTGTATGTTGCAGTATCAAGAGTTACCAATCGTTGTCGTTTGAAAATTCTAATTGTTGATGAAGATGGAGGAACCACTGACAAGACTCAGAATGTTGTATTCAGAGAAGTGTTCAACAATGTTTAGATTTACATTAAATGCATATTTACAATGTTATGATTTCAACGTATTTGTTGGATGTTTTTGATCTTTTAAGTCATGCTTAGTACTCTCATTTTGACAATAATATTATAAGTGTATTTCGTTTAATGATTTGATGTATATCAATATTACATGAAGATGGATAATGTCATCAATTGATAGTGTGATTTGAATCACTAAGCACACATAAATTTGAAAGAAAAATTCTCAAACCGTGCATCGCACGGGTGAGTTTACTAGTTCATAAGAATGCATGTGGTCATTTAAGAGCATGCATTTCTCTCGTGTCTTGCATAAACAAAAAGATATAGTGTCACATGCATGACAATGCAAATGGAAGTATAAATGTGATGGTTGATTCAATTCAAGTAACTAAGAGCGTGAGAGATCCTTAGCCAATTTGAGATATGCAGATCCATGTGCAAAAATGATATTTCTTCGATCCCATTTTACATGTCCTAATTTTCTTTTTGAATTGTCCCAAAATAAGTGTTACATTTCCTTTTTTGGAAAAAGATATGTGGTTTAGAACATTTCACATCATTATTATATTCAAATCTCAACCACAATTTTAGTTTTCAGCCACTTCATTAATAATTATGTCAAACCAAAGTAGGGCATATAGTATTATATTACTATGTACTCCGTAATATATAAAACTAAACTATGGAAAACAAAGTAATAATGTGGATAGTTAGAGATCTAACTTTTAAATAATGTCAATAGTGATAGAAGTAACAAACTCTACGTACACTCAATTAAGGACCATGCTATATAGGCCTTGGCACTATCACTACAAAAAAACAGCGTTATAGTCACGGATTTTAGTCACGGATTTGGTCCGTGACTAGTTTAGTCACGGACTAGTCACGGACTAGTCACGGAAATTCAAAAAAAAAAAATAGTCACGGTCTGGACCGTGACTATGGCCGTGACTAAAATTAGTCACGGTCTTGGCCCGTGACTTAAGTCCTCCGATAGGCCCGTTTCCGTTTCCGGCGAAGTATATTTGATTCCGACGACTTAGTCACGGCCACATCCGTGACTATACCCGTGACTATGATTAAAATTTAATTTTTTCACCTCCCTTAACTTAATTTGCAACGGGATTATGTACGGATAACTTTAGTCACGGTCATGTCCGTGACTAGTTCCGTGACTACTTTGATTAACACGTCATTTACACGTCATTAACACGTTTTGGACGCGTATTGGACACGGTTTTGCTTAGTGACGGACAAATCCGTGACTAAGTCCGTGACTAAATTTTTTATATATGCAGGAGCAGCTCATTGAACAGAACCACACCAATTCATTCCCAGTATATACAGTACGTATCCGTTTGAAAGATCGAAGGATGTAGTCTATCTTCTATCATTTTCCCTGTTTATGCAGATAAGGTATGTTATTTGAATTATAATTTTTATTTAGAATTAGTTGGTTCAATTTAAATTATTAAAACTATTAAATTAGTGAGGTTGTTAATTAATTAACAACATGTTTTAACTATAAGCGTAGTAATGTCATAGAATTAGTTAAACTTTTAGGTTTATAAAATAATTTAATTAAAATTAGTTAGCTAAATGTAGTTTAAAACGTAATGATGTTTATGTTAAGTGAAATTAATTAGTTCAAATAACGTATGTTAGTAATGTGTTAATTAAGTGAATTGTGAATTGTTATTGTGAATTGTGTATTGCTTATTAATTCAAATGACTTTATATACATGTTCAAATTATTGGGTTGAATTTGGTCATATTATTTAATTTAGTGAATTGTTAATTGTGTATTACTAATAAGATTAAATGTCATTAATGTAATAATTTAGTGTAGGTTTAAACGTAGGTTTACAAAAATAATTTAATTAAAATTCGTTTGCTAAACGTAGGTTTGAACGTAGCTATTGATGTGTTAATTAAGTTAAATTAGGTAGCTAAATGAATTAGTTAGATTTAATTAAACGTATGTTTAATTTAGTGAAATTATCTGCATTATTCTGCATTAGGGGACGTATATTTTGTGCATTATTGTTGTGAATTCTGTGCATTTCATTTAAAAAAAAGTAAAAATTAGTTGATTATATTTAGTGAAATAAATTACTTAAAATTGTGTGTATTGCATTTCATATAATTTTTTATTATAATATTCAGGCATAATGTATAAACAAAATAGAAGTTGGATGTATGATAAAGATGCGGTATTGTACGGAATGCAATCAAATTTTCTCGAGGGAGTCGGGGAATTTATTGAATTTGCACTTGAACATCCGGCTTATATGAGTGGTGATAAAATAAGATGTCCATGTTCAAAGTGTAAAAATCTCAAATTTAAAGACCCACACGAAGTTGGGTATGATTTGTACGCGGTCGATTTTGTTCCCAATTATTATAATTGGACTTCTCACGGCGAACCTTTGGATCTATCTGTTATACCACAAACGGTAGGTTCGTCTCGTTACGTCCCTCCAGAGATGAGTGCGTGGGGAGACCGTGTTGAAATGAGGTGGGACCAACAAATGGTATATGACGCATACGGTGTACCGTCTCAGTTCAACCCCCCACAACCACCTAACGACCCCCCTGAAGCCTCAACCTCGTATCAACCAGATGCGGATGAAAATCCGACATTTTATCAACCTTATGTGGATGAAGGTTTGGCTGAGAGATTTCAGGATGTTCTAAAAGCTGTCGACCAACCTCTGTATGCTGATTGTGAGGGATACTCTCAGCTATCCGCTGTTACTGAGTTCATGAACATAAAAGCCGAATACAGTCTCCCTGAAACTTGCATGAATAGAGTCTTGCAGTCACGGTCGAAAACCGTGACTAATTTCAAAAATTTAGATTACACCCGCGGGCGGTCTTTTGAAAATTTTGAAAATTTTTAAAAATAGTCACGGCCCACAGCCGTGACTAATATTTTTTTTTTTTAAAAATATTAGTCACGGTCACAGGCCGTGACTAACACGTCGGAGTGGGGTTTCCGGCATGAAAATAGTCACGGCCCTTGACCGTGACTAATCCGTGACTAAATTTAGTCACGGTTATGTGGCGGTGACTTCATTTAGTCACGCCAATTAAGACACGGATTTAGTCACGGCGGATGACCGTGACTAACCTTTTTAGTCACGGAATTTTTACACTGCAGTCCGTGACTAAATCCGTGACTACACCCGTGTTTTTTTGTAGTGTATGATGATCTTTATTAGGAAAATGCTTTTGGTACACAAAATGTGTACACAAAATGTGTACACATGTCTGTCCTTCAGAGAAAATTTGTCTGTCACAGACAACTTATTTTGAGTTGTCTGTGACAGACAAATTTTATCTGAAGGACAGACATGTGTACACATTTTGTGTATCCAAGCAAACTCCTCTTTATTATACTCCGTAAGTCTTAAAATGTAAGTTACTTTTACTCATGATAATATGTTATAAATTAAACAGTAGAAGTCTAGCAAAAATAGTTAGTATACTACACTATACAACTAAACGAGAAACTTAACCATTTTAAGATAGTAACAAAAATTCTAAACGAGCTGCTTTCAATTCGGATCTCCATGTTGAACCTATGTGTAGAACGAACTCATGCTCAACATAACAACATAAGGTTGACTACTGGTTGAGTGAGCTATCAAGTATACCCTTTTTTTTATACATCGGAATGGAAAACAGACGAAAAATTAAATTCTAATATGCTCAAGACCATTAGCATCCTCATGGAGGAACTTCTTACTCCACGTAGGTGCTTCGTTCCTGAAGTATAGATAGCCCTTTGGCTGCCTCGTGAGCAGCATTCGCTAATGAGTCTGCACAAATATTTCCCTCACGAAGGGTGTGTTGCAACTTGAAGTAGTATCCCCTGTTCTAGGCAAACTCAAATTACTTTTCCTCCAAACTGCCACTGCAAAAGGGCAGTCCCGGATAATATGGAGCACTGTCTCCTCATCCTCATTACAGAGTGGGCAAACGGTATCTTCAGAAATGTGTCGTTTTCCTCTTTCCACGTTGGTGAGCAGTTTATTTTTCATCACAAGCCAAAGAAAACACCGCACCTTCTCACACGTGCGTATCTTCCAAACCCAGCTCCAATCTTCAATAACCTGTGACAAAACTAAAGATTCATAAGCTGATTTTACAGAGAACTCACCCGTTGGTGAGAACCTCCAATAAATTTCATCTTGGTACTCATTTGCAATAGGGATAGGGACTACCCTCACATCCTCTAACAATTCCTCCGGAAGTAAAGTCTCTAGTTTAGTGATGTTCCAATCCCTGTTGTTCATTAATAGATCGGCCACTTTGACTTGATGTGCGGAAGCCGCTAATGGAGATCCAAGTTCCTCATGAAGAGGTTTATCCCTCACCCAAAGATCAAACCAGAAGGAGATCCTTTCCCCATTTCCCACCTGCCACCCGAGCCCATTACGGATGATGTTCTTACTTCGTAGAATATCCCGCCAAGTGTGAGAGGAGCCTCCCTTTTTTTCAATTTCCCAGAAGGAAGAGTTTTTTTTTATATATTTAGCCTTCATTATTTGAACCCAAAGTTTCTGGAAACCCATCATGATCTCCCAACCAAGTTTAGCTACAAGAGCTAAATAATTATCTTGAGCTTTCCGGATGCCCAATCCACCCAAATCCTTAGGTTTGCAAACAGCATCCCAATTGACGAGATGAATTTTACGAGTTCCGTCATTATGACCCCATAGAAAATCTCTATCGAGTTGATCAATTCTATCGCATATACTTAAAGGAAGCAAATAAGTTTGCATAACGTATTTGTGGGATAGCGGTACTCACTGATTGGAGCAACGTTTTCCTGTCGGCCAGATTTAGTAACTTTTCTTTCCACGATGGCAACCTCAGTTTCACCCGGTCAAGGATAAAGGCAAATTTATCCTTGGATTTACGCCTGTGCATTATAGGGGCACCCAAGTACTTCCCAAGATCTATAGTAGACGGAATACGAGACAAACTTTGAAGTGTACTTTTTAAACCCCCATCATAGTTTCGGAGAGAAATACACCCAAGATTTATTCTTATTGATTTCCAGTCCCGATGCCGTGGAGAAAGTCTGTAAAATGTGCATCATGTTTTCCATTTGGTTAGTGGAAGCAGCACCAAAAAGCATCAAATCATCCGCAAAAAAGAGATGAGATATGCTTACTCTTGGCCTACCCACCTTCACTGGCTTCCATCTCTTAGCCTCGACATCCTTGGAAATGAGATGAGAGAGCCTCTCCATTGCCAGAATGAAAAGGTAAGAGGACAGTGGGTCTCCTTGCCTAAGACCTCTTCGTGGTTGAATTTCCACCAAAACATTCCCTTTCCAGATGATCCCGATTTTCATTTCTCTTATCGAGTTCATGACAAGCCTATTAAACTCCTGGGGAAAGCCAAAGTCAGTTAAGGTGTTCTCCAAAAAATCCTAACTCAAGCAATCATAAGACTTTTGTAGATCCAACTTCATAATCATATCGCCTTTCTTGCCCTTCTTAGATTCCAGAGAGTGCACTATCTCTTGGGTGATGAGTATATTATCAGTTGTGCCTCTGCCCGGGACAAAACTGCTCTGAAAAGGGCCAACCATGTGCCCAATCCATTGCCTCATACGATTAACTAAAAGTTTAGAAATCACCTTATATATGACATTAAGTAGTGTGATGGGTCTAAAGTCACCAGCTACTAGTGGGGCATCAACTTTTGGGATAAGTACCATGTTGGATTTAAGAATCCGGGATGGAATGTACCCCGTGCGAAGCGCATCATTAACAAAATGTGTAATGGTGTGGCCGACTGTGTCCCAGTATTTCTTGTAGACGATTGCTTGTAAACCATCTAGCCCCGGACTGCTGAAACTTTTCAAACCGAAAACCGTGCTTTTAACTTCTTCCAAATCAGCCTCCTTCATCAAGACAACCTTTTGATCACCTGATATTTTGGGGCACTCCAAAGCAGCCAGTTGATGAATTCCGTAGCTGCTAGAATTTCCAAACAAGTCGGCGAAGTACCCTCTTATGTGCATAGCAATCTCCACCTTGTTATTTGTCCATGTGTCATTGATTTTGAGGTGTCCAACACAGTTCTTATTCCTACGTATCATGGCTGATTTATGGAAGTAACTCGTGTTACGGTCACCTCCCTTAATCCAATCCACCCGAGCTTTTTGGAACCAAAGCATCTCTTCTTTATCCAAAATGGTGTTATATTCCTCTTCTAAAGCCAATTCTAGAAGTTGTTCTGAGTGTGAATTAGTGTAGTTTGGAGAGTTTTGGATCCCTTGAATCCTAGCTCTCAGATGACGTTTTTGGCGGAACACATCTCTAAAGGCCGTTTTGCTCCACTTTGTACTTGCCACCATGACCTGATGTATAGCTTCTTCAATCGAGTCAGAATTAGAATTCCATGTTGTCTTGAAGGTATGGTCTAATGCCCCGTTCATTAACCAAGCTGCCTCAAAACGAACGAGACGATTCCTTCCCGAAGAAATGTCAATATTGTTGGAGAATAAAATAGGGTGATGATCAGAGTGCAATCTAGGTAGGTTGAAGACTTTCCATGTAGGAAAAATATTATTAGCTTCCATATTCCAAAGCCCCCTGTCCAGTTTCTTCCGGAGAATCACCCTTGTTCCTTGACGTTTGATCCAGGTAAAAGGCGAGCCCTCGGTGCTCACATCAAAGAGTTCACAACTACTGTTTTGATCCCGGAATCTGTCCATAGCACTCCATATAATGCTACCACCGCACTGATCTGATGCCCATAGAGTATCATTGAAATCCCCTAAAATAATCCATGGGCCCATATACCTGCTGCGAAATTCCTGTAGTTCAGTCCAACACCTATGTTTAGCTGCGACATTCGGTCTAATATAAACCACTGAACAGATGACACACCAATCATTAACTTAAAATATTGCAGTGAAGTGCTTGAGATGAACTCTCAAGTATAGAAAGGGTAATTCTGTTAGGATCCCACAGTAGCAGAATTCCCCCGGCGAAACCCATAGGCTGAATATGACTCCAGTTAGTCATACCCAGTTTTCTAGCCATATTAACCATCTTGTTAGGATTCTCCGATTTAGTTTCAAGAAGGGCCAAAATTTCAGGCCGGTGCATATATATTAATTCCTTAACGTGGCATACTGCTCTCTTATTCCCAATTCCACGACAATTCCAAGATAAAAACTTCATAAAGAATGGATAGATAGTGTGGAAGTGGAAGCTCCCGGCTTAGCTATGGCCGTATGCGAGACGGCCTCCATAATATGTTTTTTCTCTTCTTGATCCTTGTCAGGTATGCTATTTATGTCCAGGACCATGGGCTCTTTGTTGGTTTTTTCCTCCATAGTTACTAGTTGTGGTACATCACTTTGGTTGCTAGTCGAGCTGAACTGGAAAATGCCATTTTCCGTCTGCATGTTCGAAGGACACATCTGATTATGATATTGTTGATTACTGAGGATTTTCTTGTTTGTTGTAGAAGCAGGGCTAACTCCCTTTGCATTAACACTTTTCTGCTTTCTTTGAACCAATACTTCCCTTGGACCCGTCACATGTGTAGGAATATTAGGCTTATTCTTTCCTGTGGTTGTATGTTGCTGCCCAAACATCATATCTGTGGTGGTGATTTTTTCCTTCGTACCTTCTTTGCCTCGAGCCCCGGAAACTTCCACTTCTTCCGTCTCATTAATAGATAAAACTGCGAATCTATTACTACCTTCTTTCTGAGAAAACTTACCGTTTTGAACAGCCCTGCCATCTGCTATTTGTCCCTTTCCTCCGCTCCGTGCTTTCCCTGGATAACGTTTAGCTAACATATGTGGTCCAAATTTATCAAGCTTATTTTCTTCTGAAGCTTTACTTACCATGCTGGAATCTTTCTCCATATCTGTCCCTTCGACCACCCCCAGTGTAGGTTGCGGGCGGTGTGGGCATATTTCCTTACAGTGACCATATTCTCCACAGTCGAAACATATGGTAAGCAGGCCTTCATATTCAATAGATTGTTTTTTCCTACCAATCCACACATAAGGTACAAGAGGTTTAACCAACTCGATCTCCACTGCAGCTCTAGCAAACTTTCCCCGGGCAACACATATTGTAGTTTTATCCAGCTTTAAAGGAATGCCAACTTTCAGGAGTATTGCTTTAATGATATCTTCAGCAAAATATTCTGTTGGAAGACCTGGTAATCTAACCCAAATTGCCATTTTTTCTGGTTTGTCCAAAGAAGGTTGAAATTTTGGAGTCCATCTTTGAACAATTATATACTGATCAAATATCTTCCAAGGTCCTTCCATTAGATAATGAAAGAAATCCCTTCGTAAATCAATTTTAATGGTATAACATCCAAATCCGAGATCAATAAATTCAACCCGACCATGTGGGTTCCATAGTCTTAGAAGCCGATATTGAAGAGCTGGGAATGAAATTTTACCCATGGTTTTAATGATTAGTGCTTTCCTCCATGGTTGTCGAAGTTCACGTTTTCTCTCTTTCGGGATGATGATCTTAGGAGCATCATCTTCATCCTGCTGAAAATCTTCATCATCTGAAACATCCTCCTCAGCCTCCAGCACCAATATGAATTTAGATGCTCATGACCACCCAAGTTTGCTGCTAATGTCTCTGCAAATGATCTCTTTCCTATCCCAGCTGTGCTTGTTTGTTTTATCTTTTTTGTAGAACGAATTAGATGGTCCTCCTCTTCCACCGAAAGCGCAGAAGAGCTTTGGATCTGGTCGCCTAGCTGCATCTTTCCGCCCCCTTCTCTATATGTCCCCCCAGCCATTGTTGACTACAATATGAACTTCATCAAATTTCATAATAGGAATGGAGTATTCGCTATCAAGTATACCCTAGCTAAAGGCTAAAGTAGAACATACATATATGTAGTCATGAGCATAAATAAATACAAAGGCTAAGCTAGGCTATCAGCTAGTGCAAATTCAAAATGAGAGTATATTTTCATGTTTAAAGTTTCATATTGTCGAATATAATACTACCCCGTCCCTAAATAAAAGTCAAAGTTTGCTTTTTGGGTTGTCCCTAAATAAAAATCCTCTTTTTTTTGGGCAAACAAAATAGTGTCAAATATTGCCAAATAATACCCAAACGGTGCCAAACAGTGTCAAATAATCTCACTTTCTTACATTTTGTGTAAAACGAATAGGGGATTTTATATAGGGAGGAGGGAGTAGTAAATTTTCAGAATTGATCTAAGTAACGTCTTCTATTTAAGAAAACAAATGTAGTACTCCTATTGTGGAATTTTCAAATGTTTTTGTTCTTATTTTGAGAATATTCCCTTATAATGAAGTCCTACGCAATATATTTGGGAATATTCTCTTATAACTCCATTTGCCTCATCTTAAAGCTCTCACAAGCTTACATGTTTTGGACATCTCACTTTAAGTTCAATTCAGACTTCTATTTAAGTAAATAATTAGTATTCTTGAATGATTCAATCTTAAATGTTCATATTTAATACTTGGGATGCCTCGGTTAAAGGTTCATACTTCTATTTTAGTGAATAATTTAGTACTCTTAAAAATAATGCCAATTTAATCATCCAATAATGAAAATAATACATAGTACATCTATAACATCATAGTTATCATCAATGACCTTATTATATTACTACTTCCGTCCCATTAACATTGAGACACCAGGGGGTGACACGGTTACTAAGAAAAATGAGTTGTGTAGTTGATATTGAATTGATAAAGTAAGAATAAGGTAAAAATGGTTTAGAGTATCTCCAATGCTAAAACGTGAACGGTGCATACGTGGCATAAGAGATAACCAATTAAAAAATAATAAATAGAATATCTCTCTCCTTATTTGAAAGATCTTGTATCATTTTGGTAAGTTTTTCTTCACAATGTCAAGCACAATGTCTAGATGTAGACATTATGTTTGACATTGCAGAGGAAAACTTACCAAAAACACATAAAACCATGGAAAGAATGAGAGAGAAATATCATAAATTCAATTTTTTGTGTCTATCTCTCTCATGCCACATGTGCACCGTGCACACACTACAAAAAAAGTGCACATAGACTGCACATGGACCACATTTTTTTTTTGCGATGACAGCATAACTGTCGTTAAAAACACCATTAACCACACATTTTTATTTACCACACACAAAAATGTGGTAAAAACTTAGAGACGACAGTTTTTAACCGTGACCAATGTTTTTACCACAGCTGTTGTGCCGACGCACCTAAAACTGTCGCAAAACTGTCGTAAAAACATAAGGAGGAACATTTACAACAGTTTTGCGTCAGTTTTACGTGCGTCGCCACAACAGCCGTGGTAAAAACATTGGCCACGGTTAAAAACTGTCGTCTATGACCTTTTACCACAGTTTTGTATGTCGTAAATAAACAAATGTGTGGCTAATAGTGTTTTTAACGACAGTTATGCGGCCATCGCAAAAAAAATATTGGTCTATGTGCACTTTTCTAGTAGTGACATTGTAGCATTGGAGACAGGGGCGAATCTACATATACAAATAGGGGGGCAGCTGCCCCCAACAAAAGTCTCGTAGTCTCGCATAAACCACTAGGAATAAAACCATTTTCACACATTTGCCCCCATAAAAAAAATGGATTGCCCCCAATAGATCTAGAATCTAGTTGTTCATTCCAGTTCTAAAAGCATAGAAATTCAAACCGAGTGTAAGTTTGAGGCAACGATTATTATTTTTTAAACTCTTGACAGAACTAATTGCATTTCCAGAAGTGCGGAAGACAAAAAATAACCTTTATCCACAAAAGCATAACAACAAGAATTCAAGAAGGCATCGAAGACTAATGTAATTCAGCTACTAACAGTACTAAGTATTTAATTATCTAGACTTAAGTCTTTTTACACTAAAGAATTGAAGTGGGTCGATGTATTATTTAAGTCTCTTAAGTTCGTTTGGGATCCTCTACCCGACTAGGAGGGTGCCTTGCGCATTGGACGGGAAGAGAGCGGCCAACACGACCTCGAGA